CAAATTAATGACATCGAAATAGGGAGTGAGCTAGGGAGCAGTGATCACAAAGAAATCAGATTTAGCATAGAATGGAATAGACCAGTAGGAGAAAATTCTGTTAAAGTGCCAGATTTTCGAAAAGCTGATTTTAATAGCCTAAGAAATTTTTTGGGTCAAATTGATTGGAAAGGCTTGGGTATGGGGTGTGGGCCGGTCTTGGAGCGAGACATGAACCCAGCGATAGGTGACTTAAATGGGGATTTCGATGTGGATTCAATATATAACTTATTTAAGAATATTCTAAACAAAGCACAGGAACGTAGTATACCATACAAATTGAATAGATCGTATACTAATGACCCAAAGTGGATAACAAAGAATTTGAAGAACCTTATAGGTAAAAAGAGAGCTTGGTACAAAAGGATTAAAAATGGGGAGGTCACTTTAGAACAGGAATTCGTACAACTGGTTAGAAATGTTAAAAAAGAGATAAGGAAAGCAAAAAGAAACTATGAAGTTCGCATAGCAGGGCAAGCAAAGACAAATCCTAAAGGGTTTTTTCAGTTATATCGTACTAAGACTAGGGAAAGGATAGGTCCATTAAAAACTGAGACAGGTCAAATAACAGATAGTGATGAAGAGATGAGTAGTATTTTTAATAAATATTTTGTATCTGTATTTACTAAAGAGGAACTTAACAATATGCCTTCAGCCGAACAAGTCTATGTGGGTGGGGACGAGGACAGGTTGACGAGTTTAGCAGTTACCAGGGAGGATGTTCTTAAACAAATAGTAAAACTCAAACCAAACAAATCCCCAGGGCCGGATGAAGTGTTTGCTAGGGTGCTTAAAGAATGCAAAGAGGAGCTTTGTGACCCACTGTCAACCATATTTAATAAATCAATAGAGTCAGGCAGAGTGCCAGAGTTTTGGAAAGTTGCTAATGTGATACCAGTTTTTAAGAAAGGAGATAGATCACTTGCGTCTAACTATCGACCAATTAGCCTAACGTCTATTGTGGGAAAGTTACTCGAATCTATAATAGCAAATAAAATTCGTCTTCATCTTGAAAAACATAAATTAATAATTGAGTCGCAACATGGTTTTATAAATGGCCGTTCATGTTTAACAAATTTGTTATCTTTTTATTCTAGCATTGTTGAGGCAGTTGATAGTGGTAAGGATTGCGATGTTGTATACCTTGACTTTAGCAAAGCTTTTGATACAGTGCCACATGAAAGACTGATTAAAAAAATAGAGTCTCATGGTATTGGGGGTGCTATATTAAGCTGGATTAGGGCATGGCTATACCAAAGGAAACAGAGAGTTAGTATAAATGGAATCAAGTCAGAGTGGGAAAATGTTGTAAGTGGAGTGCCTCAAGGCTCTGTCCTGGGACCTCTGTTGTTTATAATATATATAAATGATTTAGATTCAGGTTTGAGTAGCAACATTTGCAAATTTGCCGATGATACGAAAATCGGTAGGGAAATTAATTCGGAGGAGGACTCACTATCACTTCAAGTTGATCTAGATAGGGTTTTGAAATGGTCAAAGGATTGGCAGATGCAGTTTAATGCTGATAAATGTAAAGTTCTGAGGTTAGGTAATGATGATAGAGTTACAAGATACGAGCTAGATGGTGTTGTGATTGCGAAGTCGGATTGCGAAAGGGATCTGGGAGTTATGATTAGTAAGAATTTAAAACAAAAGGATCAATGCATAAATGTTCGTAATAAGGCAAATCGGACACTTGGATTTATTAATCGCAGCGTTAGTAACAAGACACCTGGTGTGGTTCTCAAGCTATATCTTGCTCTAGTTAGGCCCCATTTAGATTATGCAGTTCAGTTTTGGTCGCCATATTATAGAATGGATATAAATTCACTTGAACGTGTCCAGCGTAGGATGACTAAGTTAATTCCCCAAATTAGAAATCTTTCATATGAAGAAAGATTAACAAAGCTTAAGTTGCATTCACTGGAAAGGCGAAGAGTTAGGGGTGACATGATAGAGGTTTACAAGTGGATGAATGGACATAACCGGGGGGATATTAATAGGGTATTAAAAGTATCAACACAGGACAGAACACGAAACAATGGATATAAATTGGATAAGTTTAGATTTAGGAAAGACTTGGGTAAATACTGGTTCAGTAACAGGGTTGTTGATTTGTGGAACCAATTGCCGCGTAACATTGTGGAGGTGGGGTCCCTCGATTGTTTCAAGCACGGGTTGGACAAGTATATGAGTGGGATTGGGTGGTTATAGAATAGGAGCTGCCTCGTATGGGCCAATAGGCCTTCTGCAGTTACCTTTGTTCTTATGTTCTTATGTGAGCCCCTTGAAGGATCTTATATAGACGAGGGTAGAAATAGCCTAAGTTACTCTATCCTTTTGAGATGTCCCTTTTCTCAATAAATTTACTTGAACTTCAGAGGTTGTAATCTCTTCCGAAATTGACCCAACAGTCTTTTCATCACAGCTTCCAAACTCTTATGGGGTATATCCAACATATGTGCCTAAATATATATATATATATATATATATATATATATATATATATATATATATATATATATATATATATATATATATTAACTATATTTTTACCATTTATTTTCAGCATAATAGGTCTCCGAGTTTTATAATATTCAAAATTCAAAATGTTTATTCAGGTAAAAGTATATACATAGAAGATGAGTTACAAACATAATGTTGGATTTATAGATAGAGCTAGTACATATAATACCTAAAGCCACTATTACGCTAATTGAACTAAAAGCCACTAATTGAATATACATTCAAACTTAGTTTTGTCTTCATTAACCACCAGTCCCATATGGTGACACAGATTTACGAAATTATTCAACATAGTTTGAACCTTTGAAATATCTTTGCCCTGAAACAAAATATCATCGGCATATATGATCGGAGTTACATCATTTTAGTATCTCTCTGATGCTATCCTATTTATTAGAATATTAAACAAGGAGGGACTCAACACTCCTCCCTGAGGTGTGCCGAGCTGAAAAGATCTTACACCTGACATACAACCTTGATACCACACCTGAGCCTTCCTTTCGTGAAGATAATCCCCTATCCAGCGCAATAATCTCCCCTTAACACCAAAACCAGCTAGTTCATATAAGATTACCTCTTTGTTAGGTTTTTCAGTTACGGGCTATTCATGCCCGTGCCACCTTTTGGGTGGCTTAATCTTCATTAATCTTCACCAATTAATCAGCTTTATCAGAAGCTCCTTTTAAATCAATAAAAATCCTATAGTAATCATTATCTAGACATAATAATACAGTCAGAGGTACTTTTGCCTTTGAGGAACCCGAACAAATTACTAGACAGCTGATCACATATATATAAAAGTCTATTTAATATTATCCTCTCCAACATTTTACAAAAACACGAGATTAAGGACACAGGTCTGTACTCTCCATTGGCTTTAGGGATAGGGATGATCATAACTTTTTCTATTACTAGGACTACTGCCCTCTTTATAACTAATATTAAAGAGCCTTAACAGTGATGTTAGACCTAGGTTTAACGCCTCTCATTAATCTAATCAGCGAAGCTTCATTTATTTCTTTAAACCCGCTCTAAACTTTGCACTTACTTACATGCTTTAAACACGCACTGTATCTTGGGCTACCCAATCCCCCAATATATGTACCTACACCATATATATACAACTTCACCATTAATCATTGCTATCTTCTATCATGGGTGTTATACTGAACGCATATTTTACTTCATTATATCTTGAAATAATCCTCAAATTATGCTACAATGTACCTGCTGATAACCCTCAAATTTTCTTACAATGTACCTGTTAACATTTTCTCAATTTTGCCAGAAATTACCTACTTATAATTATCTGTTAGATTAAGGACCTGCCCGAAACACTATGCGTGCTAGCGGCTTCACAAGAATGTATTGTTGTTGTTATAGATTCAGCTACTCGGAACAAGTTCCAAGTAGCAAGGGCTATGGTGAGCCCGTAACCTACCTGGCACAGGAGCAGAGCACACAAGAATGTAAAAACATCAACATTATGTACTCCATGAACCCAATGTACCTTCTTGAAACTAAATAATTCTCTGAAATTCTATCCCCATGAGTCTGTAAGTTCAATCCCAACCTCATTAACTCAATCATAGCATTTCTTAGGCATCTCAAGATTATTCTCATGGCTTCATTCTTCTCCAATTTGTTTAGTCTACCTTTATCAAAACAATAAATAACAATATTTAACTTGGAGAAAAATAGAACACGAAACAATGGGAATAACAATACAATATAATACAATTTTATTTAGGTAAGGTACATACATACAATAAATTTTTACAAGGATTGGTTGACTTATAGGTAGAGCTAGTACATACAATGCCTAAAGCCACTATTACGCAAAGCGTTTCGGGCATAAATTACATAAGTTTAGATTTAAGAAAACCCTGGGTAAATACTGGTTCGGTAACAGGGTTGTTGATTTGTAGAACCAATTACCGCATAATAAAAGTAGGATCCCAATTGATTGTTTCAAGCATAGGTTAGACATATATAGGAATGAGATTGGATGGATATAAATTGGAGCTGTCTCGTATGGGCCAATAGGCCTTCTGCAGTTACCCTGATTCTTACTTAATAACTGTGCCATAGGGTACCAATGGTGGGAGCACGTGCTCCTGGTATCCTTTGATCGATGTGTATGATACCAAATCTTTGTGTATCACTATTATACGTGCCGACGGCTAGCGGCGTGGTGTGCCGGGCCTCGTGCACTGCGACAAAAGTCTAGTCACTCCCCTCCCTCCCCCAGGTGAACTTACCAAGTCTTAAAATCGATCTTCGTGACGTCTGCCGGAGCAAAGTTGAGGTGGTTGCCCCTCGTGGCCAAGGCCCGCTTCATCTAGCTGGGATCCGTGTTTGCCGTAAGCTCTGGCGGCTGAAGGAACTCTCCAGCATTATTAGCTAGCTAATTATTTATGGGTGGACTGTTGTTATGCCATACGTGTATCGTCATTTGTAGTCGTCGTCATTGGAAGTTGTAGTATTTGGTCAATTGCATATGGGCTAGTGGCGCGGGTGCCCCTTGGCTGACAGTCTGGCTACAGTATGATCACCATTTCATATCCCATAAGCCGTCGTGGTTGTCTCTACGTTTGACATTATGACATATGAATTAACGGAGCAATAACCGGGATGAGGAAAACTTGTTTACCTATGAGTAATAGTGACTTTTGTGCTAATAAATACAATAAATTCTAATAGAGTATAATGGTAAATAGTAACTGAGCAACACATGGCTTCCCGTTTTCTGTGGTGTAGACATCGATCAGTTGTTGTGTGAGGCGCGTGTCGTCTGCTGGTGTTCTGCTGCTCCTGCTGCCTCGCCTGCCACAGCCCCTCCTGCAACATTCCCACCAACTGACTCCTGCTCCGGACACCCGTTCCCTACCTCACCACCAACTATGGAGTTCCGGTTCAACGTGAGAGAGCTGCTGAAGCAGGAGATCACCCGCATCGACCATAACCTTATCCTCCCCAACTGGAAGTCGCAGACTAGGAACAGGTGAGAACTTCCCTCCCAAAAACTGACATCACTCCTTTCACTTCCGTCGCTTCACTTAGGTGGCGAATGCAGGCTTTCTCGATTTGGTTGTCTTCTATCGGTTGTGACGTGGGGTTCTTACAGGCGATAGGTGCTGGTGTTTGAGTGTGTGGCAGTGTTCAGTGTCCATGTGTGTGTGTACAATGGGCGTTGACATGAATGGGCAAGGCCGCGGGAGGCGGAAGTCCCTCTCCCACTCCTTTTATGCTCTTCCTGCCTCTTTCTCACCACGGCATGTGCACAGATCTGCACGTCTGTTTGTTATAACTCCGGCTATATCATTATTGGCTTCCTAATAAGTCCATACATGGCGCTAGTGTTCTCGGAAGAGTAGCTGCAGAGGTGTGTGGTCACGCCCTAATTAGTACATCCATGAAACATCTGTCAATGTTTTTTTGTGCCAAATCCTACACAAGTTGAATTCTATATAAATTTAATTCTAGATTAATTCCAGATTCTACATAAATTTAATCAAATTGAGAAGGATTATGGTGTAATTTAATTTAATGTTCTATTAACAAGCCACATTTGTCTTTAATGAGTTACCTATTTATTTTTTATGGACCCCATTCTCATCTTTAGTGTTGGGAAGATTAGGTTTAGGAAGTATAACCTTATGCTCTTGTGTTTTTAGCCACTCAAGTTTGTGGTGTTAATTCCTGTTTGTATTTGTCTGCAATTTACCCGAATTTAAATATTTGAGGGGCCACAGTCTGGCCTAGACAAGGACAGGAAGCCAGTGGCTTGTCAAGGGTTTCCCTATTTGATTTTTTCTAGCTTGATTTTAAGCTGAAGTACAGTATTGGTGTTTACAGTGTTGGTGGGTAAATGACTCCATTGGTTTATTACCCTATTAGTGAAAAAGCATCTCGCGTTGTCTGTCTTGCACGTATAATGTACCACGTTTCAAACACAACTTGTTTTAGATTATTAAAACAAAATACTGTTAGGTGGGGCTAGTAAGGATGGGTAAGGTTTGGAAGGTTTATAAATCTATTTGTGAACCTTTATGTGTAAGAAGCTGCATGTATCCTGAGAAAATGGTGGAAGAGCAACAGTCACACTGTGGGCGTGTGAGCTCAACCTCTGATCTTTTATAATTGTTAATACCCTCTATAGTAGTTCAACAAAACTAGTTTAATTTGCCGAGTTACCCATAACTAATTGTATGCTTTATAAAAAAAAATCTGCATATAGTTTTTTTTATAATATTTCACCTCATATTGTGGTATTTCTGTAAAATGTGGTTTATCAAATGAACATTTTAACGATAAAACACTTTCTACGGGGTAGTGTAGTGGTTTACATTGTCAGCTTACAACTGAGGGTCGTGGGCTCAATTCCCAAGGTAAAGTAGAACAGAAATGGTTGGCCATGGTTCCTTATCACCTAATGCATCTGTTCATCTGTTCATGAACCAATTGCCGCGTAACATTGTGGAGGTGGGGTCCCTCGATTGTTTCAAGCATGGGTTGGACAAGTATATGAGTGGGATTGGGTGGTTATAGAATAGGAGCTGCCTCGTATGGGCCAATAGGCCTTCTGCAGTTACCTTTGTTCTTATGTTCTTATGTTCATCTAGCAGTAAATAGGTACCTAGGAGATAGGCAACTGTTGTGGGTAGCCTACTGGGGGGAGGTTAATAGTTGGTCCTAGGGGGGACCTCAGTAAGGCTAAGTACAGGATCCCAGTTTGTACTACAGAAAATAATACTGTATTGCACACCTTGCGATTATTTCGGGCTCAACATCCCTGCGACCCGGTCCTCGACCAGGCCTCGTGGTTGCTGGACTGGTCAACCAGGTTGTTGGACGTGGCTGCTCGTAGCCAGATGTATGAATCACAGCCTGGTTGATTAGGTATCCATTGATGGTGTTTATCAAGTTCTATCTTTAATACTGTGAGGGGTTGGCCAGTTGTGCTCCTTATGTGTAGTGGAAGCATGTTGAACAGTCTCGGGCCTCGGATGTTGATAGAGTACTCTGAGTACCTATTGTGCCTGTCCTTTCAATGGGGGGTATTCTGCATATCCTGCCATGCCTTCAGGTCTCATGTGGTGTTATATCTGTGTGCATGTTCAGGACCAACATAATATTTTCCACATTTTCTACTAATATTTTAATATTTTCTAATATTAAGTACTAGTACAGTATTAGAAAATATTAAATATTTTAATATTTGCCCCTCTAATGTTTTCAAATGTGTAAATTATTCTCTCTCCCATTTGCGCTCAGGAGAATACAGATTTAGGCATTTTAGTCAGTCCCAATAATTTAGATGTTTTACTGAGTGGATTCTAGCAGTAAAGGATCTCTGCATGCTCTCCAGGTCTGCACTTTCTCCAGTTTTGAAAGGGGGCTGTCATTGTGCAGCAGTGTTCCACTCTAGAGAACACTAGTATTTTGAAAAGTATCATCATTGGTATAGCATCTCTAGTTTGAAAGGTTCCTGTTATCCAGCCTGTTATTTTTCTTGCAGTTCTGACCGCTACTTTACCTTCTTTAACCCCTGCACTGCGCACCTGGTTTTGGCACAAACTTCATAGTGCAATTGTCAAGGACATATTTTTGTTGTTTTTATATATGTTCAGGTAAAGTTAATATCAATGTTTCCAAATTCAACCATTTTCATTTCAAAGCACAAAGAGTAATGAAAACATTAAAATATTGCCTAATTAAAAAACAAAACGAAAAAACTCGGCACCTTAGGGGTGTTCTGCGCAGTACAGTGGTTAAAGGTAAGCTCTTCCGACATGAGTACACACGTCCTTTACATTGATTTTTTGTTCTATGGTATGATTTGACTGTGTTTTGTACGTGGTTTCCGTTTTTAGATTTTCATTTTTCCAATAGCGTAGAAGCTGGAAATTGTCTTCATTAAATGCCATATTATTTTTTGTATCCTATTGAAAACCCGATTTATGTACAGTACATCTAATTGTAGGTTTGCTGTCATCTATGGTGTCTACTCTCATAAAAATCTTAATGTCATCTGCGAAGGATTATACAGTACAGTACTATAGTTTGTGTCCTTGTCTATGTCCGATATGAGAATGAGAAAAAGTGTGTACTGTAATCCCATATACACTTAAAAAAAAATCCTGATCTCAATATAATGGTGTTCTCAGAAATACAGAAATATTTTGTTTTTAATTAAATATGTGAAATCCTGAACAAAAAATCTGGACATCACATGTGCCGTGTATGGAAACTCATGACTAACTGCATCATTAATAGTCGTCATCCATATTTATTAAATCTTTAGTAGCAGATATTACTTGCAAAATAGATTTGATTTGTACATAATTTACTGTACAGTATTTAAATTGCATTGAAAATGATACAATACAGATACAAAACTGTGATTTTGTCTTGCTGATTGTGTCCTACCACACAATCTGGGCCTATCTTGGCAGGTACATTTCCCTTTATGGTGGTGTGGTTGACCTCTTGTCACAAAGTGAACTTTTATAAAGTTTCTTTTTGAATACTGACTAATTTGTGAATAGAAAGGGAGTGTGCTAGCAATAGTAGTCTGGGTAGACCAATAGGAATGAAAGTAAAGTTGATTTTTGGATTAAGGCACTGCCAGTGGACAAAGGGAATGGACACTTCAGATTGTGATAATTTTGTGTGGCGTGATATTTAATAATTTACAAGTAGGAAAAAATCTGCCAGCTAGATCAGTCTGGCAAGACTAAAGAGAAACAGGATGTTTCTTCATGAAGAAAAAACTAAATTGAGATTGTTACAATGGCTGGGGGAGTAATAATGCTCTATGGAGTGAGGGGTTGGCACTATTACAATTTTTAAATTAAACAAATGTTTAATTACAAAATTTTTAATTTTGTAATTTAAACACTAATTTTACATTCGGTGTGAGGGTCAGTTGGAGGAATGTGCACCGATATGGGGGGGTCGGTTCGAGGCCCATGGCACTGGCGTAGGGGAGGTCAGTGGGAGGCCCGTGGCACTGGCCTGGAAGGTCAGCTGGAGGCCCTTGGCAGTGGGGTGAGGGGTCAGTGAGAGGCCCGAGGCACTTGGGGGGGGGGGGTGTCTGTGGGAGGCTTGTGGCACTGGCATGATGATCAGTGGAAGGCCCATGTCACTGTTGACGGAGAATGGGGGGGGAAGGGGAGGGGAGATCCAGACACAGCCTGGCTCCCAATCTAATACAGTATAACAACCAAGTTCTGTACACATTATAACTGAAGGAATAAACTTATTTTAAAAGTGCTTGGAAAACTGTTTTAACTGCCCGTTGCTGAGGCATATACTTCGTCATTAACTGTATTTTCGCAAATTTCAGCTTCCATACTGCTGACCTGTGCTCAAAATTTTTTTAGATACAGTATAATAGGTGGCATACCATCTTGTTCACACTTCTCACCATTTTAGGCACTCTAGTTTATTGTAACCCTTCCTTGGTCATTTGCACCCATTGCTTTTGAAAGTATTCTCACAACCTACTTATCTTTCTTCACCATTTAACTTTTCCACTCGATCAGTCTCCCTGCCGCACAATGAGTTACGAGGAAAGGCTAAGGGAGCTGAACCTCACATCCCTGGAAAACAGAAGAGTAAGGGGAGACATGATAACCACCTGCAAAATTCACGGGGAAATTGTCAGGGTGGACAAAGGCAAACTCTTTAACACAGGTGGAACATGAACAAGGGGACACAGGTGGAAACTTGGTACCCAAATGAGCCACAGAGACATTAGAAAGAATTTTTCAGTGTCAGAGTAGTTAACGAATGGAATGCATTAAGTAGTGATGTCGTGGAGGCAGACACAGTTTCACAGACACAGACTCCATATACAGTTTCAAATGTGGATTTGATAGAGCCCAGTAGGTTCAGGAATCTGTAAACCAGTTGATTGACAGTTGAGAGGCGGGACCAAAGAGCCAGAGCTCAACTCCCGCAAGCACAACTAGGCGCGTACAATCAATTGTTTCACATTATCTCTCACCATACACGTTACTTGTATCACCTGGTTACTTGCTTCTCTTGTTCTCTCTCTCTATCCATAAAATCCAAAATGTGTGTAAAAATTCATTTTCAAGAAAGGACATGTCACAGGAGATTGTCACGCTTTTGCTACTGTGTACCAGTACAATATACCTGTATGTCATGTATACCATGTATGCGTGTGCATCTGTTTAGGTGTGTGTGTTTATAAAGCAAGCTGAACACCATTTTCAGCCTAATGGAGTGGAACAGGAGGGGGTGCTTCATGGAGGGTGTCCTGCATATCATTATTCCTGAATGTCTCTGGATTATCACCAAGATGGTGAACTTAATGCCCCTCCCTTTTCTCTTTTCTCTAACTAATATTGTTTTCTTCCCAAGTTTAGTACAGTCATTTTCCTTGATTATTTATATTTGTTGAGTTTACTGTGAGGTATTTATTCAATTGAACAAGTGTAATATCCATTAACCTTTATTAATTTTAATTTACTAGCATGTGTACTACTGTCAGGAACAGGAAGTTCATTAGGTTTATTGAGCTCCCCAACCCAAGAGAGAAGCTGTTTGCCTGGCCACCCGTCCACTTACTGGCCTGATCCAAAGGGGCTTAACCTGAGTGATATCAATTGCAGTATACATATAAAAAATAATCCATATTTTTTTTTGCAGACTGGCATTATTATAGCAACAAATATAACTTGTTTTGACTACTGAGCGAGCATTTTCTCAGCACTGGCATGTTGCCTTATCCTCAGTCCAGTCATGTTTATACAACATTGATTTTGGTCTGAGGGAGGGGCTGCCACATGGCGGTGGCCTCGCATGCAATGGTGGAGGCCACATGCCAAGTGCACTGACCAGATCCAACACATTCTTGAGCTTGCCTTCTACATTACCATGCTTGTGGATGCTACTACTGTGTTTACTTTGAGGGTTCTATGCATTTCTTATAATTTTGTGTTAACTTTGACTTTTTTCTTTCATTCTTTTTTCATGGCTATCTTGCTCCTGAGATGTAAATATTTTTTGTCATTCTCTGACAGCCCTTTATCATTGTGGTATTTAGTTAACTGGTATATCCGGTATGAAACTTGCCTTCACTGTGCTTCCCAGGAAGTGCACCATACTATGAGTCAGGTCCACTGCAATGTGAGGGTTAAGGTGATCAATACGGGTCTGAGCTGCCTTTCATGTTTCTTCATGCTGGTTGTCAGTGTTGCTGCTGCTGCACTGTTATTACTGCTTCAGAGTCTACCACTCTTACTATTTTGCACTTTTATTTGTTTATCTTGTGGATCCTTGTTTATGTGGGATTACCCATATGCCAAGTTATCTTGTCAAACCTTTTTAATCACAATTAAGCTTACTTCTCTTAATTGTTTCATTCTTTACCCTTTATTATGTATATACAGTACAGTGTATATATGGTGTATACATTGTACATTATATCCCTGTTTAAAGTACAGTATGTATTGGTAATACGATATATAACTTTTATTCATTGCATAAATCTTTAATCTATGGTATATACAGTACATTGTCATTTATTTCTATGTTTCATTTCTGCCATTATATACTTTTTGGTGTACATTCCAATTTTACTATTCAGATTACCTATTACAATTATTATATAACTTTTGGGACAATTACTGATATAATTTTTTAAACTAATCCAAACTAGTTTAATTTTTGCTTGTCATCACATAGTTTATATGCAATGACTTGTCACCTTTACTCTTTCAAACTTGAATTTCACAAACTTTGACCTTGAAGTGTAATAATGGAATTTATTCATTGTCCTATGCCTTTGGCTTTAGTCAAAGTAAATTTCATGCAATTTGAGTCTAAGGTGCCTATTTATTTTGTTCACAGGGTTGAGTATCAGCAACTCTATCAAATCATCAATGCAATTGGAGAGGCTTCCTCCTTTGCGCAAGGTCTTAACAATGTCATTACAACGGCTGACAAGATGCAGAATTCTGATCACCTTCTGTACCTTATGAAGGAGGAAGATGAAGCCACGTAAGTAGTTCTGTACGAGTAATTGGGTATCAGATTAATTGCTTGGTCTTGCAATTAACACATCATGATTAGTGTTACTTAATAATGACTTCAGTTTGAAAGCAATAGACTGGGAAGCCTACAAAGCAAGAGCAGAGAAATTTTGAACTAGCTGATTCATAAACTTCATCCTTGAAACTTAAATGTATCGACTTGTTACAGGCTATGAGAAAGAGAGGCTATAATTCTTTCTTAATGTTTGTTGAGAAGATTGGCAAACTTGGTGTTAGGGAAGAAGGCTAGGTAGCAGTAATTTGTGAAGAGTGGGAGGGTATTGTTTGTACTTTTAAGAACTCGAACTGTTCATTTCACTTAGTCTAATGAAGCTGTGTGGTGGTGCTGATTTTGTGAAGCTGTGTTACGCACAGTGTAAGACTTTGTTAATGGATGGGTGATACTTTTGAAAATATTGCCTATTCCTGTACTGCCTCTTTTGTCTAAATTCAGATACTTCCTCACCATGTAAATGGGAAATTAGGTAATACTAATTTTGCTTCATATTTTCCATATTTGAGTGGCAGAGGTGCAGATAATTTTTATATTTTGTGTATTTTCAGGGGGCAGTGTCTTGTTGTTGGCATGCTGAAGGTTGGCCGCAAGAAGCTGTTTCTTCTGGATAGTGAACAGCGAACAAAGGAATGCGCTCCTCTCTGTGTCTTAGACTTCTACATCCATGAGTCAAGACAGCGCAGGGGTTACGGAAAGAGGCTGTTTGATCACATGCTTCGGGTAAGTGCATTACCAGTATGTAAATATACAGTACCTTAATTTGACTGAACAGTAAGCCTTTGATCTGCATGTGAAACATATTTCAAAAAAATTATGTACAGAGCAAATTTGTGCTCACTTCATTTAATGTTATATGGGGAAATTAAGGTGTTCCAGAAACCTTTGATAAGCTCACTTTTTTCCAATCCGTCAATAAAACATTTGTTTATAAGTATACAATATCCCATGAACAGTAGTAGTAATGTAAGCATTGAACACAAATGAAGGGTCCTTTTTGATGCAGGAATTGACTGGAGAATTGTAGAAGGTTGGGTTCATTTGCTGGGGATTGTGGTGGCTAGCCACCAGGATCGGACTCGTCCATAAAGTTGTTAGTGGCAGGTGACTAGGTGTCATATCCATGGTGATGTTATATCCAGGGGAGGATATTTCTTGGTTATCACTTATAAATCAAACAAGTTTGAGTTTAACTTCTCCAACTTTGTTGCAGATACTGGTTTGACCATAGGTGTGTTAGACTTCTCTTTCCTGTGCCATTTTGTCTAGTAAATGTGGTTGCGAGTTGATAGATTTTCAAGCCTTCATGAACTTCAACATCTGCTTATATTATTTCATTTTAGATGCTGTTTTAATCATTATCAGCTTCTGTTATAGTTGTGGGCCTGTTAGTGTTATAACAATATACTGGAGTACCACCTAAAGTGGTGAGGAGAGGCCCAGCCCCCAGGGAAACAGTTGCCAACAAAATAAGATATAAATGTGGTCTGCATTCTAGAATAAATCACCAAACTTTAAGCAAGAGGGGTGATGGATATTCCTTTTGACTATTAGTTTATTAAAACCCTAAAACCCCCAAGTACAACAAAAACTTTACCACCTTGACTTTACATTACCTCCCTAACTCTACACAGGCAGGAGACTGAGATTTACATGCAGCAAACTAGTGGTAATGTCTATATTTCCTCGAGGGGACAATTTAACTTAACCTAAATGCATGCAAGTATAGCAGACATGTGTTCACTGGTCAGCACCTGGATCTAATTACATGGAACTTCAGGATATGACCAGGGTACACAGACAAGATTACACTCGGAACAGAAAGGTGGCACGTGTTAATTCTACTTAATTACAACTTGACAAGGCCCAACCAGGCCCAAGGTTTCTACAGAAGAGGGCACCTTCATTCTTGCCATGTGGCTTGATCAGCTGATCATGCAGTAATCATTTACTTATCCTCTAATACAATAATTAATTGTCACCATTCAGTTCTAAGTATAAATGTAATATCCTAGCTTTACAATACACTAACAAATTATCATCACAGTGTAACTAAAAACTAGGAGCATCAAAATGCTCCTACTTCTGGCAAGGACACAGTCGCCCGCCATTTTGGGTGAGCCAGTTGTTGCATATTTGTGGGGGTGTGGTCATGTATTTTAATGTTGTCTAGAGAAATAAAGGCTTTTACTTGAGCCAAGGGGGAATTCAAGGTGTAGGGAAACAACCTAGTAGAAAAATGACACGAATGTATATTAATAAAACACACGTGACATTACACAACATAATTCACTCCTTACAACTCGATCATTCTGAAGGTAACACATGGAAAAATAATCGCCCAAATCGGTTTTTGTCTCCCTATAACTCTTAATCCAAAGCTGGAACTGGGCACACAGCCACCACACCTGTCAACTGGTGACACACACACACACACAAACCCCTTGGAAACCTGGACACTCTTAAAAAATACTGCTCTACCCTTCCTTGCAACCCTGTTACTATTATACAAAGGCTTATCCGATTGAACTGCAGGAGAAATTCCTCGGAAAACAAAGACCGATCGTCAGCGTTCCTTCTTGCGTCAGGTCAAGATGGCATCTGCCTCTGTTGCGTCATCACTCCTTAATACAGTGCTCTGTTCTTTAACATTTCCAATCAAACTCTCTATTGACTTCATTTACCATATTCCCCACGCAGGTCTTTTGATTGAGTCCATTTTTCCTTCACATAGTTTTGCTATTCCAATACACGTTATTCCTAAACACTCCAACTGAAGGGCACTACTTCTAATTGCGGAGAAATAAGTCGCTCGTGGCCTCCCAGTTATCAGCTGCAGATTTATTTCAGGAAAACATTCTCTAATCCATTCCTTTAATAGAAACTAACCTCCACAAGAGGTAAGGTTCGTAACACCAGCCTGTATATAAACCGTATTCCTTTCTTGCCCACAAACCTAACTATCTAACCCTATCATTTAATAATATACTGTATTATTACTGGTGTAACATTCTAGCATTGAGTACTGAGGTTCCACTGTACTGTATATATATGTACAGTATATAGTCAAAATTCTCTGATGGTAAGCATTTAAATTTTTTCTGAGGAAGTAAAATTTTTCTTTCCATTTCTTAGGATCAGAATGTTTTACCTGGTCACATGGCAGTTGACAAGCCCTCAGATAAATTCTTAGCCTTCTTGTGGAAGCACTACAACCTACACAAGCACGTTAACCAACTGAATAACTTCGTTGTCTTCGACACCTTCTTCGGTGATAGACCAAGTAAGTACACATAATTTTACCATGTTGGAATTATATTTAGTCACTGCCTGTAGGGATATCTCATGGGCTTTTCTCTAGGTTTCCATTCAGTTACGCTGTACTCGGGACAGCGGAGCAGATTTAATTAGTGAATTGATGCATGGAAGGGGACTTGAGAGGCCATTCAGATGGACAAGTGTTCACATTATGAGCTTTTGTATAATGGGGACCACCTGAACTGATAAATAGTATAAACGTTTCTGATCCCTAATATTTACTAGATTATTTTTAAGGTTATTGGGGATAAATTACTTTACTGTATATTTAAGGAATATGAGTTGTTATAGTTTTAATTGGGTAATGGAGTGTACATAGTTTTTTGAAGTGGTTACCAGTACAGTAAATGACAACTTTTTCTCTACAGTTGCCTCTGAAGAGGCAGCTATGACATTTGTGAGTCGTAGTCCTCGTGCTGCATCTCCAGAGCATTCACCTAATGCATCGCGACGTTCTTCTTCATCCAGTTATTCCCACTCTGCTGCTGGTCGACCGACCAATGCTTCACGGCAGCCTACGAGCATGTATGTTTTCTGTGTTTTTTTGCTTGTTTGACAAAAGGTGAATATTTAATTTGGCCAAATTATTATGTAACTTTTCATTTTTGGCTATTACAATTAATTAATGTGTGTGTTTCAGGGTTGATATTCTCCATGGCCGTGCTGATCGCCACACTCCAACTGCTTGCCTCTCGCCCCGATACCAAACAACCTTAGATGTATTCAAATGAGATTCTTGTTTTAATATAAGGTCACTTGCATGCCATTTCATGAAAAGAATTTTATTTTTGATACATATCGGCCTACTAAGAGCCAGTAAATTTTAATGAATTTAGTGGTCAAATGAAAATTGAAGTTGTATTGTGGTTTGTATAATTATTAGGGAAGTGATCTGAAGCTGTGATAGTGCCTTTAATTGTATATGAAAGCCTTAAAGAAATATAGTACAGTATTATATTTATTTATTTAAATGATTTGTCTATCATTATGCCCTTTAGAGCATCCTTGCATGCAACACAATATATTGATAGTTTGTGCAGCTCTGAAGATTTCTCATGAATGCTTTTATAGATCTTAAGTTTGGAATGGCATAAATCTAAGTGATATTGTATAGGATATAGTTAAGGTCCATGTCTATTTAGAATAAGTGTCTAGTTGTCATCTTGGTAACACAGTATATGTTTTAAGTTAACACTGAGTTATAAAGATTTGCTACACAGACAGCCATTATTACTAAAGCAGGGGCACACTTGTAGACTATGTGGGCACTGTGTGTTGGTTAACATCTGGGTGTGACACTTAATGTTGTCCCATGGAGTGTGCTGTTTTGTACCGTCTAAGTGCCTTGGACGTGTGGAGAAATTAGTTCACTTCTCTCTGTAAGGAATATGGGCCTGGATTGTGTGTACGCAGGAAGTGTTTATGGCTACACGAAGACAAGCCTCTGTACACTGCCCCAGTGATAGGAATGGAGTAATGAATAATTGACTTAGTAGATATATATAAATGTTGATTTAATAGTTTTGCAACTGCTTTAGGCAACAGTACTAGTCACTTAAAACTGGTGCTTATGACCTGCATGGATGTTATATAAATGCCAACACCTTTACTTCAGACACTGACCTTAACTAATAAATACTAACAACTTACCGCCTCAAACACTGACCTTGGCCAGAGTATTCTGGCTAGGAACTACAACATCCAACTAACTTTAAATGGGTATAAATAACTACAAATGAACACTGCTTCATGCATGTACTTCATAACTTTCTCTTGTTATAAGTAAGTTCATTTTTTTTTTATTTTATTTTATATATATATAAATTTTTTTTTTTTTTGTTACCTAACTTGCTCATGATTGTTATACCTGTACTGTATATGTTTGGGAAGTTGAATGGTAGCATTAATCATGGACAACAAATCTACAAGTTTGTTAATCCAGTCAAACATTTTTGTCCCGTAATTATTTTTCCCATATTATTTTGGCTTGAAGTTTACTGTGTTGTTTAATTAGTAGGATTCATATATAGTGTAATTTTATTTATGTATAGTAATGCCAGCAATACATTATTCTATAAATTCAAATATACTCTGTTTCAGTGGATGAGAGGACAGAGTTCTGGTGGCGAGTCTCCATACTCGCAGACCCCCACTTCATACTCTGCTTCTCGAACGCCATCCAACACAGGCTCCCCGTTACGCACCCCATGGGGTGGATCTCCTCCACGCACTCCTTACGCTCCCTCGGCAGCAACTGTTGCCACTTGCAAAGACACTGTTGACCATGTCAATTCAAATGGGTGAGTACAACTCGGTTGCTCTTTCATAGATGAATATGATCTGATTTCACTTATTCGGCATTCTATAATGTGGCATTTGTGTACATTTAAACCACATTTGTCATATGTTGCATCATGTACTAATCCAGGTCATCATGAAGTGCACAACATTAACACAGTAATCTAGGTCTCTCTTATTTTTCCAGTAGTGAAATAGACCGATAACAGAACCATCTACTAAACTAAACAAAAAAAAATAGTTCAAATGGTTACTGTGCTTAATTTATTTCTGCCAACATATGTGGCCACCCCAAAAATGCCTTTCACAAATGTCCTCCTCATAGGGGCAAATGCATTATTTAAATCATTCCCTGAAACCTACATAATGCAAGAGATTACAAGGATAGTGTTTTGCTATTTATTTTAGTTTTGATAGATAGCTTGTTTTCAATATTTTATTATTACCAACGATTTTTGTGCCTAGCAAACACACCCAGTATGCATGTCCCGCTCCCTAGCCTACTGCGCTCAGACTCCCATTCATAATATGGCTGCGTTAAATGCAAGGCAATTTTTTTATACAGTATTTAAAAATAAAAAAAAGTGCATACAGTATTATACGGCAGCAAATGCAATATTTTGTATAAACAACAAACAATATTGTTGCTCCATCTATCAAAAATTTTCTTGTTGTTCTAAACGCTCTTCCTTCCTACTCCCTAAATAGCAATTAAATTTTTTTTCTTTTAAAAGTACAGCACAAGGCTGTACTGTGTCTTATTATTTTTTCTTTCCAATATATTATGAAGCTTTCTGTATTGTTATAAATCAAATGGTTGTAGTGGATGATACCTGTTACACTTTAGCTTTAGTTAAAAAATACCTTCAGTGGTTCCTAAATTTGTCAGTATTTTTATAAATAACCAATATTTCACACAATTTAGTTTGGTGTCTGTTCAAGCAAAGTCACAGTAATGGTGCTTGCCTGCCCTCAACATTAGGTGATGAATATGCGAGTGTTTGCTTGAATTTTCTGCACATGACGGGCAATTCCTAGCCTCCATGCAGTTTGTAAACTTGTTCCATTTGCTATTATACCACTTGAGTAAGTGCCAGTCAAGGAATACTGGTATGTAGGTAGTATCTGAAATTTTATGAGAAAGCTGCAGCTCTCGGCAGGTGTGTGCCACATGGTGTCACGTCAACAGGCTGGGATATCTTAAATGTGGAGGCGTAGTGAGCATTAAGGAGGAGTGGAAGACCACCAACTTTGAGTATTCAGCAGTAGGCCCTCTGATAACACAGCCAGGTACCATATACAGTTGCTCTTACTAGGATTCAAACTTGACTGGTGCTACCACCAGTTCTGGTGTGAGTACCACAGAGTAAAACAGTCTTGCAGAAATCTGAGTCAGACATGTGCATACACAGTTTTAAAGTATAAAATCCATTATACAACAACCATTTTGAAATGTTCTATTAAAATGAGATTCATCTCGATCAGTATTTAGATAAATCCCACCTTTTTTCAGTTTTCTTTGTCATTGACTAAAATTAACAAGAGTATGTCTGCATAAACATTTATAATGTGAATGGATTTCCAATTGGTTATATTCTTTTGTTAAATAGAAGCCTGCGGGGGTCAATAGCACCTACTCCAGCCACGTCTCCTGAGCGCCGTTCTCCTGCCAAAGAACCACAGGACGAGAGTGAAGACGTTATTAATCAGCAGCCCTTGGTAGAGGAAGATGGTGTGGCGGAGAAAGTAGAAAAGCTATCATTATCTGCCACCCCACAGTCTCCAGGTAGGTCAGCACAGAGGAGCCAAACCAACACCTTTATTCGTTATTCCACTACAATTGTAATATTGCACAGGATGGCAATGCTGTATTACAATTGCTTCCAAAATGTTGCCATGAACAATTTTTTGTGGCATTATATTGGTAGAGATGTTTGTATGCAATTACCGATATAATGATAGTTTACTTTTTTCCGTCCTAGTTTATTACACATACTCCTCTCTTGCCATGTCCTTCACATGCGCGCACGTGGACACTCACTTTTGCATTCCTGTCTTTGACTTTACCCTCACTTCCTATCGGTTCCAAAACTTTCATTTCCTTTATAATTTTATTGTTATACTGCTAATTTTCTTATTAATTTTCCCCAAGTGTCTTGAATCAGGAGAATCTGGTTTTGTATGTATGCCACAATTGCTCAAATTAATATTGTTTCTTGTATAAGTGTCTGTTACTTATAGCTTTTAGTGATGTACAACAGTTGTTTTCCCCTTGTTAATCATTCATAATAGCTAAAATATTGTATAGTATACTTTGCCAAATGTTTCATGTGTTAGGCTAAACAAGGTATTCTATGTGCCACTCTGTATAAGTACGAGGAAGAAAAAATTATGTGGAGATTAAACTCTTACTGTCCTTTGAGTCGGTGCTCTCTTGAGTTATTACGTGTTCACATTTCTAGACACATTTGCCAGAGCTAATTTCATTGTAGCTAATTTCATCTTCATTCATATTTTGTATTGTTGATGATTCAGTCCTATTCTCTTACATGATTTGGTCTGCTAGTAAATGCCACGTTAATTACTTTGTCCTCAATTGTCATTACCAGTTTTCTCAAGTTTTTCTTAATATGTGTCTTCAAAATCTGATCTTACTAGTCTAGTTTACATACAGACATGTGAGCACACATTGCAATGAGCCCCAAGAGTTTGGGGAGCCATCATACTGATTGATATAGGCTCTAGGAGCTGGAGCTCATTCCCCTGCAAACTCAAATATGAGTACACCTGTTTTGTGGGACATGCTGTCACAAGGTGAATAGTATTCCCAACTATTCTCTTTTAAGTACAAAGTGCTTGATCTACTCTGCATTTTGTGTTTTGTCACTTCCATTCATTTAACTGTGAACACTTTTGTTTGCTAGGTATTTATAGTTTCTATATACTATATTAATAAATATTTACATACATTCATTATTGCCAAAAGCACCAATGTATGAATGCAAACTTCTGAATGTTTGCCTATACTAGAAATTTTTAGTGATGTTGCAGTTAAGCTACAGCTACCAGCTTGCCCAATCCTTTGTAACAATGATGTTTTTAGGTTTATTTAATGTGCTAAATAGTCTTCTAGGCTTGGTGCCTTCTGTTAGTAAGTACTCTTCGAGAACTTAACAATTGACACTTACGGCTGATAACTCTGGTTGAGGTTTAGTGAAGCACTACAGATTTGGGACGTTGGACATTTAGTGCATAGATCTATTTACTTTAACAAATTTATGGTAAGGTTAGATGCAGTTTCCTTAAGTTTGGACAGTGCAAAGATAAAAGAGCCGTGGTAATGAGTATTTATCCTACTCGGCAAGAAACTGGAAAATTTGAAGACGGTTTTACACAAGCCACATTGCATTAGGTGGGAAGTAGCATTGAAGGTAAGATAAACAAAGTTTGCTAAATATTATCTAAGAAATATGTATTTCAAAATATTAATCTCTTAAGCTTAAACGTTTGAATAATAAACCAAAATTACAATGCCATTCCTTCTCGCCATCTTGTCCATCTTCACAACCCAGTCAAGTCACCTGAGCTCTGTGGACTGGTCTCGCTCTGTAAGTTGACCAGATTTTTGCCGGGATGCCCTTCAAAGGCTCTAACACCTAATGCTACTTGTTGTGTGCTAAACATGCTCTGCCACTTGTCATCTCTAGCTACATTCTTCATGCAGTTTGCACGCCTGGAAATTATTTTTGTCATGTACTTTTTCTTGAAAGAGTCTGGGCCATTTCAGTGCTTGTTTATTAATTTTATTATAAATGGAAAGTTTGATGAAATTTGAATAAAGTAATTTCCAAGTTTTATTTGCTTTTTTAACTATAAAAGGAGTTTGACCATTGTGATTACAGAATTATGAAATACTTCTTTCCCATAACTATTATATACAGTAATGTATTCTGTGTATCAATGGAGTTTTATCAATAGATACTGTATTAAATTTTTCATAAATTTTAATAATACCTATAACTTAAAGATTTGATGATAAAGTATTATCTGGATTATTAATTGATTATCGTCTATTATTCAAGCCAAGTTCTCCCCCCTGTCTAATAATTTGTTTCCTCTTCAGAGAATGTATTCATGTAACTCCTTTTATTCATTATGTGCCAGTTTTCACATATCTGCTTGGCTTCCATATTTCCAATGGGAAAAGTATGCTTGCATGCTCTTAAAGGACTGTGAACGTTGCGAGCAGCACACTTTCTGTGTAGGCAAGCACATTTTTCTATTATACTGTAATTACTCCAGAGCCTGTCAAAGGCCTTGTTAGGGTAACCTGGAGGTGCTTCTATATTTAATTACAATAATGATGATCTGTACTGCACATGCTTTATTGTTGACTTGCCAGATGTTATTCCAGCAGGTCTAATATATATTTAGTCTAAGAAGTATCATAATTTGTGTATGTAGACAACTCGAACATAATTTGGAGATTGACCTGAAAAATTTCTAAAGTCCAGACAAAACTGAACAAATCACTGCTTGAAAGAAAGGGGTAAAATAAGAAAAATACTAACTAGTATACTAATATATTTTACAGTGGTAAAACATCCCTAGCCCCAACTCATTCAGCTGGCTCAAGATGGCAGATCAGGCCACATGAGCTCCCACCATATCACACCTCACTCTTGCACTTGCTCTTAGGAAAGCTTTCTTTTTGACACCCCTGTTCTTTAATTTTATCACTGAGAGAAGAGTAGTCAAGTTTTGGTGGTAACAAATGCTTTCTTACTAATGGTTTTCAGCTGGAGACAAGTGTCTTGGCTTCTACATTAGGCTGTTTCTGGTTTTGTTCATCTTTGATTTTTGGTAGAGATAAGGGGTTTACCCAAGTCTGGTTGTAGAAGGGGTTTCTCCCATCAGCCTTCTTGTAGCCCTCAGTGATGGTGTTGTGTAGGATGTCAGAGTGCCTTTTGGCACTCTTGCTCTTGGGATAATTGGGTTTACTGCATTGTTTCTAGTTTCCCATGATCTCTGAACTTGGTCCTTCCATATTCCTGTCCATTCTATGGACCTCTCAGCCTTCTACCCCTCTACACAATCAGTCATGATTTGGTAGGCAAGGGCATCATCATGGAGACCATCCTGTAGGATGCTATTTGGCATGTTCCTATTCACTTGTGGTTATGAGTTTGACATGAAGATATCGCATCATCAGTCCTCTTGAGGTTTGGTTCCTTGGTGCCCTTTCCCTCCTTCATTCCATCTGTTCACGATTGCACCAGACCTTGGCTAGGACTGTTTTTAGTGTACTATGCTGGTGATGGGTTGCAGTTCCTTCTTCTGCAGTAGGTACAGTATATATAAAGTTGCAGGATTTTTTGGATGTCTGGATAAGGTTTTGGTACACCCTTCTTCAAGTCTTGGGTCTTTGGCTTCATTTGTATTGTTCCTCTGTAGCCCATTGTCCCAATGGGAAAATTCCTTGTGGTCCTTCCCTGGATTTGGGTGGGTTTTTCTGATTATCTTGCTTTAGGCTTTTTCTAGATTTAGTTAGCACAATTTATACATTTGGAATGTCAAACATTCTTGCAGATGACTTCTCCTGCTTCCATCCGATTAGATGTGTAAGTAGATGTGTTCAGTGGCACTCTAGAGCTCTAGAGTGCTGGGGCCACTACTATATCAACCTGTCCTCTAAAATGATACTACTTATGGCTACTATGAATGGAATGAACAAAATATGGTCTGTTGCACCCAAAAGTACCCATTTTGTATTTTGCAGAGGATATAAAAGGAATGGGGCAAATTGGGTTAGTGAGTTGTATGATATTTTTACGACCGACAATTTATCAGGGAAGTTGAGTATTTGTGACCGTCATAGTATTACTCGGGCCACTCTTGCAACAGACCTTGTTTCCTGTTATATAAATTTTTAATATACATTATATATTTTGTAAATACTGTTCTGACAATATTTTTGTAGACAATCATTGTAAAGACAGTTTTAGGAGTATGATGCACTGGCTATGACTGAAAGAATGTTAACATTATGAGTAAAGTATGCTTGTTTTGTGTAGGAAGGAGAATGATTGTACTGTAGCAGCATTGAAGGTTTGCATGGTTGCAGCTAGTAATGTTAGGCTGTTAATAACTGTATTTCAGCATGTTTATACAAATTTGTTCTTTTAACTTGCATTATGGAATTGTGTGTGTTTTTACATAATTATCTCTTCAAAATATTTATTATTGATACTTTCTGCTCCAAATACAGGAGTCACATTACTCTGATACGAACTTTCATAGCCATACTGAATGCCAATGGAGAAAGACACTAGTACTAACTGACCACTGAAAGTACTTACTAAATTTGTTTTAATTTTTTTACTACTCAGTATATTTTTAATTGCCATGCAATAGATAGAATTAAGATTAAAGGTAACTACCAAGTGCTTGCATATATAAAACTGAATTAGGTCATAAATTTGTCTGTCATTGACAATAGAAATTTGTGTAATTTAGATGGTGGTTGAACTCCTTTATTAGTGTATTGCATTCTTGTGTCCTGTATATTTTCTGTTGCTTGTATTTTACTTTTACTCTGCCTATTGTTGTATACATTACTCTGATAGTTGTCTCCTATTAGATATTTTTTTAAATTTCAAAAGGTGGTCTGGTAAAATAAATGTTAGTTACACTGTAACAGAACTGTAGTCACTGTCAATGTGGGAAGTGTAACTGGTATATTTAGAAAGGTTAATTGGTTCTCTGGATACAAAAGTTGAGAGGACAACAAAAATAGGGGTTAGGATGAGAGTAAAGTATACGGAAAAAAAAGTGAATTTGGTATTAAGAAATGAAATGAAATTTGTTAGAAAATGCAGGAGGTTGACTAGTACAAAGGAAAATGGAAAGATTAGTTTGGGAGAATGTTAATTGATGAACAAATTAAAGTTGGTAGAGAAAATAATTTCAGAAATCTGATGGGATGAAAGAATGGAAAATATGAATGATTGATTTTACTTGTATGAGAAGAGTGCAAGATAAAATATCAGCAGAGGTAAGTATATCACTGTAGTAGCTGGTGTGTGTTAAAGCTTTGGGTATCGACGGGGTATATGCAGAAATTCTTCAGTTCTATGCAGTTAATGGAATAATGGGTGTGGAGAGTATTTTACAAGTTTTAGGAAAGTGATGTAGTTGCCTGATTAGAAAACTGTGATTCCTATTTGTGTACAGTAATACAATGTAGCTTGTATAAAGACTGGTTAGCTTTTGCTCTACTATTTGTTACAAAGTGTGCGGTAGGATTATGAAGGTGTACATGTCATTTGTGGATTTGGAAAAAGCAAGTAACAAAAGGGAGAACGATGGACACTTATACTCCACTGTTACAGTGTATGTCTGGAGAGGTTTTATGTAGAAAATAGAGAAATGTGTAATATTTAATGATGCAATGAATGACTAGATTGATATTAACTTGTAGTCCTTCAACAGCTCCGTCATCACAGTATCCAGGTTCTGACCCCCCCTTTGCTTGTTTTGTTTCCTTATTTGTAAGTCTTGTTTTCTGGTCACGGATCTAGTTTTTTCCTGCTTGGGACACTGGCTTTTTGGTCAGTCCTCCCAGGCCCTGATGCAGTTGTGCCTCCATTTTCTGCTAGTGCTAATAGTTTCGGCACTTCTGTAGGAATATTTAAGCATCGTTTAGGCACAATGAACTTTTCCTGTGGTTTACCATCTGTGTCTTGTGTGACTGAAAACATTTTTCTGCTTTCTCCAGTTGGGAACCTCTCACCATGGTGAGGACTGTGCAGTGCAGTCACTGCTTCATGTGAGAAGGATCTTGCATCACTATTTTTCTCTTCCATTTCTTTTTTGGTCCAGTTTCATGACGACGTCCTCTTAGTTAGCCAAGCAGTTCTCGGATACGTCAGATCTCGGCTGGGCGCTCTAGTTCCCGACACTGTGGTCTCCTCACGTGTGGTATGACCTGAACTCTTGGCTAGAGGCATTAGAGTACGTCACAGATGAGGTGTTTACCCTATGGTAACAATTTTTATCTTCCTCAGGGCTAGTAATTTCCTTAAAGGTGCTCATTTAGATGCACTTATACCTAGTACCATGAGTTGATCTCTTATTCCCAAGCACTTCACACCTCGTGAAGAGTGCCAGAATCTGGACCTTGCTTCCTGTAGGCCTGAGACAATTCACCAAGTTTTGACAGCCCCAGTTCTGTAGTTTGAGACACTATCGAGTGGCCCACCAGGAAAAGGTGTTTCATTATACTGTGTGTAATTCATAATATATTCAACACTTGAAATTTAGAGTTCTGGGCTGCTTCCTCCTGGTGCTTGGCAGCAATTGTGGTTTCTCTCTTGAGCATCTTCCCTTGTATGCTCTCTTGGCCCACTTTTGGGTTTGTTTTGGTACCTTCTTTATGTTCTCGAAGCATTTTGTATTTTTCCCGTTGGTTGTTTTGCTCTCTTCTGTGTAGTTATGTTTAGGATTCTGCTCCAGTACAAGAGGCTTTTTTCTTTCTCCTTCCCTTCCTCCTCCAGCACATCCTCCCTCTTCTATGAAGTGAGGGTTATCTTCAGAGGATTTCGGGGCTTAGCGTCCCTGCGGCCTGGTCCTCGACCAGGCCTTCTTTTTGTTACACACACACACACACACACGCTCTCAGGAAGCAGCCCGTAGCAGCTGTCTAACTCCCAGGTACCTATTTACTGCTAGGTGAATAGGCGCATCAGGGTGAAAGAAACTCTGGCCATTTGTTTCCGCCTCTACTGAGGATCGAACCCGGTTCCTCAGCACTCTGAATCTGAAGCGCTGTCCACTCAGCTGTCAGGCCCCTAGGCCCCGATCAGGTTAGGTGATCCTGTAATGATCTGTACAAATGCCTTATAGCTGCTCCTTTAATGGTTACCTTTGATGCCAATGGAAGGTTTAGAAGAGTTTTGAATTTTTTATGGATTAAACCTCTATTGATCATTTTAGCTGGATTGAATATTTGATTCCATGGTACTTACCATAGCACCTTGCGGATGCTACATGGAATGGCTAGTATGGTGCTGATGCAAGAATATAGTTGTGCTTAATTTGGCATAATCTTGTCCTGTGGACACGGTAGGTCATACCTTAGGAAGCAGCTAAATGATTATACCAAGAAAAGTGCCTTCCTCATTAAATTGAGACCTTCTTTTTGTTAATGTTATAAGGGTATTATTTAAAAGTATTGTTACAGACTTTGTGTGTGCAATTCAGAGGCTAATTGTTTTAATTGTATTAGTCATGAACAACCAGTTTCTCAATGACAGGGCTAATGTATAGCAGTTTTTTTCATATGGGTGCAGTTTTTTTTATTTAGTTTTGATGTGTTTTATACTTTTCTTGCCCCTTCAGAAAGAGTTCTGTTAATTTTTTATTTTTATTTTGGACAGTCAGGAGAAATATGCTGGTTATATTTTCTGTAGATTGGTAACTTGAAGGAAAATGTTAAACAAATTTTGTAATTGTTTAATTCATATTTGATTGGTAACAGGCAAGACAAGTCAGTGGCGTGATAGTGTGTCGCGCTCAACAGCAGACTTGGCAGAGCGGATGTTATCGCCTTCACGATCCACTATGACGGGTGTCCTACAAGAAAATGATTCTGTTCATGGACACTTGAAATTTCATCACCATGCCTTATGGTAATGATGCAGGAAATGAGGGCTTCTTGTCTTTACCACCAAACAAGAGGGCCGTCTTGCTGCTAGGCTGTCGACTGTTCTTGTCACTGGGTATGACATAATCCCAGCTGGCCATCAGTCTAAACACCAGCATTCCCATTCACTTGTGAACACTGCAGCTGATCTTTAAGTGGTGGCTACAACTTGCATTCCTGCCTACATTTTATGTGCACGTTTTGGTAATGTAGTTGATGTTTTCGATACACAAGATTTTGATTTTTACTCTAGGTGGAGAATTAGTACAGTATAATTGTCCATATTTTATGTTGAATTCACACTGGTGTATGTAAAATTATTCATAGCTATATTTCAAAGTATTATTTGTAAAAACAAAAATTCTGATAATGTTGCATAGTAACAATTGTGGAGTGTACTCAGGGTTGTCCAGATTGTGCAATTGATACCCATTGAATAACAAGTTTTGTTATACAGGTTTAGCAGGTGTATAACATTGAATTGGAAAATGTATTGTATGACTTGTTTTTTCATATCCAATGTTCTCTCAAAATAAGTAGATCACTTTTGATTTCAAGTACTAAGGCATACTGTATTTAGGATTTTGAATTTAAATATAAATTGAAAATAAAGAGACCTGTTATCTTATTTAATTATAGGAATCAAAGTTTGATGTATAAAAATAGAAGTCGAAGTGCAGCTAGAATTGTAACCATTGTAATAACATGCATTGATCAGGATGTCTCCAGTATTATGGCTTCACAGTGTTTCATGTCTGACTTTAATTTTACATATTGCAATATTTTATTTAATGTATGCATTATGATAGCATTTTGGGAGATCTAGAATACCTGTTTGTATCTGATAATCTCATTAGAACCTAATGACTCAAGGATACTACCAAAGAAACTTATGCTTTTTGGGTTAGTTACTATGTGTAGCTGTTGTCATGCCTAATCATTGGCATGATAAAGGTATAGCATTGGAAGGATTTTTAGATTTGTAAATATGGTATCATAGTCATATGATTGATGGGTTTTATAATGAACAAATTTATTTATATATATTTTTTTTTTTGTGACTTGGTGCACCTATTCCATCTCAGTTGACTGGGAATGGACTAAAGGTAGGTTGAGATTGCTGGTATTGCAAGTACAATGCACACCAGTACTTGTGTACTGTGGTAGGCTAAAGATGCCCTTATTGTCCAATATGACTGCCATGTTCATAAACTAGTGAGTACACACTTTTAGCACTATTCTCCAGCATATTGTATGACTGCACTTGCTAAAGACATTTCCTGTGATTCCAGGAGCTTGAAATTAGACAAAGTTCCATCTGTATTGTGTTGCTGTTTAGAGCATTTAGAAGCAAAAAACTTAGTTTAATAAATAATAGTAAACAATTATCAACACTGAAATAACTTGCCTTAAATTTTCACTTTTTTTACAATTGAGTAGCATGATGTAGGCCTTTGTCAGTAAGGATTAGTGAACTTCCAGTTTCTGCCTTATGACAATGTAATTCTAAAATTTTTGCAATATATTCATAGCGAACTTAACTGGTGTACAAACCTGCACATTTGTACTTTATACAACACTACTACTTGAAGCAGTACAGACTGATACTGTAGATAATATTGGACTTCTCGGTATATCATTATATTTTGATTGAAACACAGGGAGAAAATGGCGAGCCCATGTGATGGTCAATATTTTCTCAGATGCATCACATTCTTGTGATAGTGTGTTCATAAAGGAAGGTTCATAAAGGATAGGGGAAGCATTCTTTTTATTTCTTAAGGATACACATTTAAATTTATATTTTTGATGTTGATCTGGGACTGTGGTGTGCGCATTCCTTTAAGATGTCTATAGAAATGCAGTCGACATTTCTAGATGAGGTCTATGTTCTATGTTCATGTTCAAATTGGCCAGGGAGGAAACTGGCTTACTTGGCTGATGAATGTTCTTTTAAACTATTTACTTTACCCGAGATAGGATGCCTCGTCACATTACGATTTCAGGACTCTTAAGTTGGTTTACTTTGCTCTCGTTTAAATATGGGGAAAATATTTAATCAGAGAATTTAAATTCTTAATAAATAGAAAATCTTAATACTGTAGTAAAAATCTAAATCTGATAATTTTGAGCATTAATGTAGGATTTGTGTGCAGGGTAATAACACATCTTTCATCTTGTTAGTAATGAAGTGCCCAGTTTTAAGCTGAATGACATTGCATATATTAAGGTATATTGTAATGACTGTATTCATAGTTATAATAGCATTATATTCATGAACTTATTCATTGCGAGTGGTTTTTGCATACATTAACTTTTTTTTTTTACTTGATGCAGAAAGAAACCATATTTATTATCCATGAAATGGTACACATTTCTGACATGGTATACATATTAATGTATGGTTAAGGAATATTATAGAAAATCGCAAAACTTTTTCATGAAGAATGATGCACGGGTATTGACCTGCTTATTGGTTGTCTAGAATGTTTAGAGAGCTCTCATTTCACTCCGGCACCAGCGTAGAGTTTGTTGTGAAGTTTCTTTTGTTCTTGCAGCTGTACATGTGATGTACCTTCTTTGTATTATCTTGCTTGTTTGACATAATTTACAACTTACTTACTTAGCTTCTACTCCACACACTGCTAAATTTATATTTCTTGCTTTGAATATTATGAGAATCCCACTAGGAATATGGCATTGTAAAATGGTAGAGATTAATGTGTGTGTGTGTGTGTTCCTAATCTCAGATATGTTTTGTAGTCCTCTTAGTCTCTGGCTACAAAGACTTCATGTATGATCACTTACATGAGTAAGAACCTAACAAACGTTTAAGTGTTGATACACATACATATGAATTCATTCCTAATATGCAAGCTCAACATGACTTTTGGCATGGAAAAGCTTTAACTGATGCTTAATGCTTCCAGAGTTGTAGAACCAGGTGTTGAAATTGTCATTAGTCGAGGGATGTGTACACATCAACTTATTAATTATGTAATATTCATGAAAGTTTGACTCTGTGTATTGTTTGGGATGTGGATATCATGATAAACAACACTGATTTTTATAAGTAGATGAAGTTTTTAAGTTGGCAAGCTTGGTCTGTGGTACTACCCTACAAGACACTTTACATTGCCATATGTTGGTTTCGTATAGGGAATGGAGGATTTCGTGAACATAATTTTGGAATACTGCAAAGGGCTTTAAACTTGTCTTTATATGTTTACTATTTATTTATTTGAAATGTTTGAACTAATTTATTACATATGCAATGCTTGCATTGCATCGTGATGTGTATATGTTGAGAGTTTCAAATATGTCACCATGGCACAATATTATGCACAAGTTATTGTAACATAGTTGTTTGGTGAAATTACCAAGTCTTTAATAATATGTTGCTATGTTCGGTTATTTTGTTGAGAGACTTCTGTAAAAAGTATAGAGTTTTAAATATTTATACTGTTAAGGAATAATCTCAAAATTGCCTTTGCATTATATACATATATATTAAAAATGTTTTTTGTCTGTAAGCAAGCATTTTGTGGCATCTATGATGTAATGTGTTTGTTTAAACACATCTATTAAATTTGATGTTTCATGTGGAACACAACTAAGCATGGGCATCTTGCACTCTTTTGTGAAACCAAAGTTAATACAGATGTAGTAATTTTAATTTTTAGTCATTCTGTACTTTCCATATGTTTTGTTACTTTGTAATTTTAATGATTGTATGTTTACATTTCCCGGTGCAAGGTTGCTACTCTTTTGTATAATTACCGAAATTGTACTATCCAGGGTGTGAGTGGACATTTTAGCTTATACTGTCATACATTGTACTTTAGACTGTTCAACTTGCCACATAGAATAACTTCAGAATTTAACTTTTAATGTAAACATATTCCAGAATCTCATGCCCTTGTTGAATACAACAGTTGTTCTATTTTAACATGAATTTTGATTTTGTATGTATGACTGTCTACTTGCCCAGTGTAGAATAATTTGTATTGTATGTCCAGTCAGTAATAACTGCAGCTTTATAGAATGGGAAACCAAACTTGGTTTAATATTTTGGATTATCTGTGACATTGCTGTTATGGCTTGTCATGGAATATAGTTTTATATTATACAGAGTTAAAAGTAATTTTACTTTATATATTGTAATTTTATTTTGTTCTTTTAACCAAAGCTTTAACCTAAAATATGTAAGTGTTACATTGCCAAGTAATAAAAATTAACCTAAATTATCTATTTTATGGTGATTATACTTTGATACCTTGTTTCACACACACAGAGATCACACTAACGTGATGCATCAAATGAACAAATCCACAAGGGCCATGACGAGGATTCGAACCTGCGTCCGGGAGCATCCCAGACACTAGTTTCCCTTGATTGTATACCTTGTTTCCTCTGGGAGTTCTACTTCTTTAAAAGTTTGGCATCTTACAGAATCCAGTTTCAAATATTTTGACTCCTCCTTATGTTGCAGACTTGGAGTACTTCAGAAAGCTTGTAAATTGACATGGTGCTTTGTGTGTCCAAGTGGTTACATGAAGTATGTGTCGAGAATGAAGAAAGGCAAAATTACATAGAGGATGATGATGAGGCAATTGTATGTAGTATGTCTATGAGTATTGGTGATTGTGTAATGTAGACGGTAATGGTTTTTAAGTCTCTTCCTTGCTAGTATAAACCCAGTATTGACACATAGTGCTAGACACTTTCCTACACTTGTAGAGCAGTGATGTTTCTCCAGAGTGCAAAGGTCCTTACAGAAACTTAAGTTGTGTCCCCAGGATCACTTCCACACCATTACCAGTGCATAACAAGGGTCACAAATGTCAACCTTGCTGCTATCCTCTGGATGCTGAAGTTGACCAGTGATACCTTGCCATGCTGATGAATTGATGGTTTTGTTTTGGTTCTTGTAGGTTTCAATTTTTAGTATCTTCACATTTGTAGTTCTCATGTCTCCTCGTGTCATTCCATCCCGAGCTCCTTAGTGGGTCCCATTTGTGAAGTTTTGCAAGTCTTTAACCCTTGTGATAAAGGCTTCTACCCCTCCTCGTATTCTGAAACTTTTTTTTCCTTGAACATTTTTCTTTGCACTTGCATTCTGTTGCCCACTAAACAGATGGAGCCAAGTCTGGCAACAGTGTTCGATACTTTGTTGTCTTTCCAAACCAAACCTATATGTGCTACCAACCTCGAAGTTAAAATCTTCACAGCTCAACTGTGTGCAGTCTTGTATTCCCTTGATTGATTGTTTTTCAGTCATGAACGATCCTTTGTCGTAGTACTTGCCTAGTTGTGCTTATGGGAGTTGAGCTTTGACTATTGTAGTGCTCTCATGGCTTTAGAGTTATTTAACTCTATATATCTTGTGATAGTAAAAATCCAATACAGTATTGGCCATTTATAATCTCTAGAAAATTTAAGTAGCATGAGTTTTGTTGTGTTCTCAGCCATATTGGTAAAGTATTTCCAAAAATGAGCGCATGAACACTACCACTAAGGAGGCTATCTGCACGTGTCCTATTTGCTAAAAAGGCATTCCTAATTCAGATTTCTACCCAGTAATTTATTCTTCGATCCATACCTGTTGGCAGGGTCATTGGTCTTCTGTTACTGGTAACAAACTGTGTGCTCTTAAGGGTAGCCTGTCCCCTTGACCTTCCTAACTACCACCATAACTGGCGGTGGGAAATGGCTCTGGCACTGTTACATATTGGGCATACACATTTAACTCACGGGCACTTAATGGAGTGCTGCCCTGCTCCTTATTGTCCAAACTGCGTTGTCCCTCTTAGTCATGCATATCCTCGTTGAAGGTTCTGACTTCCAGGATGTGTGTGTGTGTCTTGCTTCCCTAGCAGTCATTTCTCCCTGGATAAAATCCTTGGTGAATCCGATGTCTTTATCGTTCGCCTTATGCATTTCTGTTCTCATATTGGCATCCTTAGTGATATTTAGGGCCCTTTGATTATTCTGCACATTTGATGGTGCTACATAGCCTTCCTGGCTTGGTGCCTTCTTTTGATAATTACCTGCATTCCTTCTGATAGTGGAAAATAGCTCCGACTGAGATGCATATTGGTGAGAAGCTCTTAACTTGACTCATACCAGGAATGGTTGAGGGCCTTGGCTAACAAGGACATTATTATTATTATATTCCCTCAGGGAACTATTTAACACTGCAAGCCAGACATGTCATGTGATATCGAAACATTTAAAATGCTGAACAATTTGGAGGATATTGATCCAATTCGTTCTTCAAAAGGTCAAATGTAACACAAGCAAGGACCAACGGTTTCAAGCTCAACAAGCCACAATGCAGGACAGATAACAAGAGATGCTTTTTCACCCACAGGGTTATAAACCAAAGGAACCGCCTACCCGCTGAAGCTGTAAATGCCAAAACTTAAATTTTAAATACTGTAGAATTTAAAAAAAATCCTTAGGGCCAATGGGGAGAACTTTTGACAAGCTGCAGGTTTCTTGTCATTGTTGAGACCACTAGAGTATTAGTAACCTTCAGATAAGTTATGGGGAAGCTATGCGCGCTAATTATTCGCCGATAGAATATAGAGGGACGTCGGTAAGCCTGTAACGTTTGTTTACATATACAAGTACTGTACGTGTTTGGGTTACCTTGAGGTGCTTCCGGGGCTTAGCGTAATATAGGCTTGGTTACAGCAGTTGGTTTTTGAAAATGTAGTACAGTAATGTGTCTTAATAAAGACGAGGCCTGATTGGAGCAGAGAGCTTGAACGGGGCGAGGGGAGGGGGGGAGGTTGAGAGACAAGAGCAAGTACTTGAATGCTGGAGGAGAGTGGTAGCTAGGTTGGAGTCTGGTTGTTTGCTCTGTGACTAGGCTGTAGCGTCTTGTGAGAGGAAGAATGTGTTAGTGTTGCTGGTGAGTGTTGATGTTGTTGAAGATCTGAGGTATCTTAGGCCTCTGTACTAAACCACTATTGGAGTTAGACTGATGATCCATGAACAGGATTGCTAGAACCTGTATTGCTGTAAGTAGCAAGCTTAAGGACTAACAGTTGCGCATTTATAATAAAAGTAGTGTTTTTTTTTTTAGCGATTGATACTCTTTTTTTTTCAAAGTACATACCTCAGCTTACTGTAAAAGTAGCCCCCTCCCCCCACCAATATATATATATATATATATTGTGACGATAATCTCTTTCAAGAGAGATTGAGCCTGCTCTTCCCTACATAATTACGTCAAAATACAAGATACTATATACAAGATACGTTCACCAAGTATCGCCAAACGTTTTGCCCAGAGAGCAAATCATAGCCCAACACCTGGCCACCGCTGTAACCAGCTAACTGCTCATCCTTTGCCTGCCTGTTGCTGATTGGCTGGTGTCTCGTCGCCCCTGCCCTCCGCCACCACCACAAGTCGACGTCTGGGCTGCAGTGCGCCAGTCTCGTCAGAATATCTCAGTGCTTCATGCAGTTGACATCTCTGGCTGGTAGACTAAGCCTTGGGTTTCGTGTACTAAGGGAGGTGGCAGCTAGCCAGTATTCCAGCACTCATATTTTATTTTGCTATCACTGTAACTTACTTGTCTTAGCGTAACTTTTCATTTGCCAGTGATTATTCATGTTATTTTGTTTGTTGACTTGTCCTGCATATTTTTTATGAGATTACCTTTATTCATGTCTTGTTTTCTAGAGTAATTAAAATTTCATTGTTTATATACTTGTTTTGTGTGTCTTTCCATTACCTTACCACAGACGAAAGGACCAACTTTTTTTTTTTTTTGTCATGTGACGAGGCCCTGCCCCTAGCTTTTGAAACAGCCGAACACCAACGCTTTACCGTCACTATATATATATATATATATATATATATATATATATATATATATATATATATATATATATATATATATAATATAAAACCTATATATATAATATATAAAACCTATATATATAATATATAAAACCTATATATAAACTCCACACCCCAGAAGTGACTTGAACCCGGACCGCCAGGAGCATATTGCAACTGGTGTACTCGGTGCCTTAAACCACTTGACCATAGTTTTCATTCTACAATGTGCCCCTGGCGGTCCAGGTGAGTCACTTCTAGGGGTGTGGAGTTTTCATTCGCATCTAATCGACCCTAAGATGCTACAGCTTTGACACAGAGCAGACAGCCTAGCTCAGCCTCACTCAGCACTCTGCTCTGCTCCAAGCTCCGTCTCAGCATCTACGACAATGCCAACAACCGACTACTGATTGATGATTGATGAAGATTAAACCACCCAACTGACGACTGTAATCAAGACTACTAAATAAATGACACTCGGTAAACACTATGTATCTAATCTACTCACGTAACATAATCGTACGTTACAATATATGGTCACTGCTTGCTTGATTGCAAGCGGGGATGTTTCTGGCGGGGGAGAAGGAAACAATTGCGCAGCGCGTCCCGCGGCGTTGCGCGGGCAGTTTGGGGCCCCTATAAATACGGGCGCACAACGGGGCTCTGCCCTCACTCCGCCTACCCTCGCCGCTGCCCTCGCAACCACTCCCCGGCCGCCCGACTTCGCACGAGATGGACAACACGCCAGCTGCCTCGGTACCTGACCTCTCTCTCACGGACATCCTGGGGCCCTCGACACCCCAGACTGTTCCGGCAGGCCCCTCGTGCCCTACACTTCTAAACCCAAGGTGAGGTTTTCTGTTCAGTTCTAGTCAGGTCTCCCCAGTGCGGCGTGTGCCAAGCGCCTTCCCCTCGCGGTACGTGTGTGCCGCCTTAGTTAGTCCTTTGGGCTCTCTGCTGTTGTTCCCGGAGAGCTGGGGCGCCCTTCCTGGGCCTGTGCCGGGCGCCCCGTGCCGTGCTGGTCGCGTGGCTGGCTTAGGGTCGGCGTGCCCTGGGCCGCGTCCCTAGTGGCCTGCGATCGGTCTCCTCTCTTGTGGGGCCCCGTCCAGCCGTGCCCGTCCGTGCCCAAGGGGTCCCGCCGCGCGGCGTGCTAGGCGCGCGCCCTGCCCGGGGCCCCATCGGCGGCCAGGCGTGCCCTTGCCGGCGTCGCCATGTGGCCAGGCGTGGTGGGCCCTACGCCCTTTGTGCTCTGCCTTGGGGCCGTCTCCTTTTTATTGGCCTTGGGGTCGTCTGGGGTGCTTCGGCGTCCTTCCCGCCTTTCCTCCGGGGCCCCCTGTCGCCGGCCCGCCGGGTTTTCCCTGGGTGTCTCAGGGGGCCAGGTTTCGCCTTGTC